GATTCCCTAATGTTGAACCCAGTAAAGAAGAAATCTCCAAGTAAGAATGGCAGCAATTGCTTGGCACAGTGACACATGCCTCTCTTCCCAGCAGCTTGGATTGGGAAGCTGAAACAGAAGGATCAAGAGTTCAAAGCCAGACTCAGTAAAAGCAAGTTGCTAAGCAACTCAGTGAGACCTTGTCTCTAAATAAAATACAAAATAGGTCCAGTTCCCCTGAGTTCAATCCCCAATACCCCCCACACCCAAAAAAAGAAGTGCAGCAATTCTGGCTGATTTTCAAGGGAATTACATAGTAAGTATATGGCTGTGAAGACTCAGCCATTGGTCTAATGCCTAGTAATGGAACATTCTCAAATTAGAAGTCCATCAGCTAATATGTTTTATGTACACTGTTATTGCTATACCTCCCCAAGGATTTGACTCAGAAGTCAACAAACAAGCAAGGGAAAATAGATAATTATTTTTAAAATCATGTTTGATAAATATGAAGACATTTATAATTATGGAATATGTCAGCAAAAATAAAGTTTGAAAGTATAGTTGGAAACCATTCTGTTCACAAAAAATGAGAACAAATATAAAATGCTTAGTGATCAATAGGTGTGGTGGTGTACACCCGTAATTCCAGCTACTCAGAAGGCTAAGGCAGGAGGATCACAAATTCAAGGTCAGCCTGGGAAATTTAGCAGGACCATGCCTCAAAAAAATAAAATAAAATAAAAGGGCTGGTAATATAGCTCAGTGGTAAAGCACTACTGGGTTCAATCCCTAGGACCACCCCCTCAAATTCTTAGAGATTAAATAATGTGACCATACCTTGTTTCTCCACCATAAAAGTGACCATTGTAAACTTTCTCATATCCTCTAAATTAATTTAAAAGTTTCACGCAATTCTAACCAAAATCCAAATAGAATTCTTTGAGACTGAGGCTACAGCTAGCCCCTCCCCCAGGCATGACCAACCATGGGCTGAATGAACAAAAAGATATGGAGAAATTTAGACAATAATGCAATCAAAAGCATTTGGGAAAGAAAGTAATGAGAATTCAGACTCCTAGCTAAAGCCCTCCATAGACAACAGTGAAACAGTGGATCATCATAGATTTATTGGTTTTGTTCCTTTTTAAAAATTTGTGACATTGTTTATTGTTTTATTCCAGTCAGTGCTTTTTTTTTTTACTTAGTTGAACTGGTTTGATGAATTTCCATCAGTTGACTGATAATCCCTCCGTTATGTGGTTATTTCTGGATAGTAACTTTACAGGTTTGTTTTTTGTTTATGCTTTTACCATTTTCTTATTTGTTTCTAATATGACTTTTATAATCAGAACTTAAGAATAGGGCATCCAGAGTCAGGGTTCTGAGGCATGGGGTGCAGGACCATCAGGCAGGGCTCTGCAGCTGGTTGGCTCTGCAGTATTATGGGAAGCATTTTTACACAGGGGTCATCAATGATTTGTAAATTTGTATCACAGCTTCTGAGAAGTGGAAGTCAAATACCTTCATGAAAGGACACATTTTCTCTAATTCTCATGGAGATGCAATGAGGACTGGTGACAACCTTGATAAAGCAATTAGGCAAGAAGGGTGTGTGAACAGGTGCTCGACATGGGTTCAGGGTTCACAGTGGTGAACAAGTTGGGGTCTTGTAAATGAAACTACCCACTGGGGTCAGAAAAGAATCAAGGATTTTTAAGTTCGTACATATATCTTGGTACACATAAAATTTCCCAAGCACCCAGTAAGTTTTATGTATGGGTTCAGTTGTTTAATGCCATCAGTTTAATGGGTCTCTTTATTGTTCTGTTATCAGTACAACCTAATTTCTTCTAGACCAGCACATAATGTGGCAAGCCACAAGAGTCATTATAAATTTTGTAGTACCCACGTATTAAAGAGTAAAAGGGAACAGATAAAGGTAATAATATGTTTTATTTGATCCAAAACATTCAAATTATCATTTTGATATGTTATAATATAAAATATACTCATAACATGTGTTACATTTTTTCATGCTGCCTTTTTTTCATTTTTAAAATCTTTTATTTATTTAATTTTTCATGCTGTCTTAAAAACATGGCATGTATTTTATTCTCACAGAACATCCCTGATCATGTTAGCTATATTACTAGTGGTCCATGACCACATGCTCCCAAATTGTCCAGCATGACCTTAGGCTAGCTTTTAGATGACAAAAAGCAGAGCTGTTGACAAAACGTTACTTTTATCTTTAACGATCATTTCTGACTATCTATACTTAAAATGTGGGAAACCACAGCATTTGATAATAAATAGATTGTCAGGAGCCCAGTTTATTTCTCCAATAAAGATACAACACCTGGAAGAACAGCTGTGATCACATCCTCACCTGAGAAGGTTTGCAGGAATACAGACTTGTTTCCCATAACCATATGGCTTTGTGTAGTCTAAATAGACAAACTAAAAGAGGATATGGTAGGAATAGCTATGCTTGCACCTTCAGTTTCTGGTGGCAGTGAAATCTCTGTGCTTGCCTTAGGAATATCATCTTTGGTTTGCCATCTTGGAACTGAAGGCAGCTTCAGATTAGTTTTTTTTTTTAAGAGAGAAAGAGAGAGAGAGAGAGAGAGAGAGAGAAAGAGAGAGAGAGAGAGAGAGAGAGAGAGAGAGAGAATTTTAATATATATATATATTTTTTTTTTTAGTTTTTGGTGGACACAACATCTTTGTTTGTGGTGCTGAGGATCGAACCCGGGCTGCACACATGCCAGGCGAGCGCACTACGGCTTGAGCCACATCCCCAGCCCTCAGATTGGTTCTTCACTTGTCCTTCATTGTGTGGATCAGGGATCCAACTTCAGCATGCTGTCAATTACTAAGGATATCTATTCCTACTATATCTATTCAGTTGTTTTGGGGGAAAAAAATCAAAGGATGGTTCAATAGTTCCACTGATCCTCTTCCAAGATGGACTCAAGCCAACACTCCATATATCATTGGACTTCCATAAGCTCCCACTTTGACCAATCTCCTCCAGGAGTTTCTCTCATCTCTGGTTATTAGCCACAATTTAAATCCAATTATAAAAAATTGAGGTATTTCCTAGGGAAGTCAGCCTGACAAGTGGACCAGGTCCCCATGGAGAAGACTTGGGAGAAGAGTCACTATTCAGTCTTATGTGAACTGGGCCTACAATCAAAAGGGCTTCATATGTAGGAACTAGATTAGACCTGTGAACTAAATAAGAGGCTATAAATCCCTACAATCACTCCATTGTGATACATGGGAAGGAGCTTTGTTAGTAAGCGTTATTGGGAGGAATAAGGCCCTGGATTCCCTCTCCTCCCTCCCTCCAATCTCTTCTCAGTGCTTCTTATCTGTAGAGGCATAAGGAAGCCAGAAGGCAAGAGAGTTCACTGATATAGCTCATACATGTTGGACTTCTAGAATAGACATTAGGGCAGAGAAGGGAAAAGAGTGGATCTGGAGGGGCGGATGGGATGACTCTAGCACAGACTTCAAAACATGTAAAACACATAAATGCCATGACACGCTTATTGTTAATACAGATTATTTTCACATTGCTGTTTTTACTTAATGTGCATAGCAGAAACCATTCTGTTTTGGTATTTTATTTAGAGACAGAGTCTCTCTGAGTTATTTAGTAACTCATTTTTCCTGAGGCTGGCTTTGAACTCATGATCCTTCTGCCTCGGCCTCCCAAGCTGTTGGGATTACAGGCATAGGTCATCATGTCCAGCTGTTTCATACTTTTAACTATGACATATTATCACATTTTGTGGTTATAGCATAACTCATTTTACTGGTCTCCCAATTATGAGTATATAAATTAGTTCCAAGATTTTCCATTAAAAATAATACATCCCTTAGTATCTGTATAAATATGTCATTTTACATATGTCCAAGTAAATAAATATTGAGGATATTCTAATTTATAATTTTGATAATATTGACAAAGAATACTTCAGGCTTAATTATCTTAACCTGTAGAGGAGTGTTTCTCAATGGATATTTCATGGCACATTGTATGGTGTTTTAAAAATGTGTCGTGGGCAATAAGGTAAAGTTCAGGCTCAGCTAGATGCTGCATTTGGTCTGTATTCTTTTCTGTGTAGTCTATGATAGGAAAAAGCACAGTGTTAGATATCTATTACCTAACATGAACAAAGAGGAACACTATATTTATACACTATCCACTCTTTTTCCTCTCTTACAGTACCCAAATTTTATTGATGCTATTACTTGCTTGAGCATTCTCTTTAAGTACTTTCTGATTGTCATGGAAGGTTGGCTCTTCCCACCATCCTTTTAGATGTTGCCCTACACTGCAGCGCCTGAAAAGCTAATGGTTCCAATTTGCAGACCCCTTTATAGCCAGGGCTTTAGAAGTAATTTATACTTGACAGACAAAACGCACTCTCCTGGGTGCAGGGCAGCAGAGGGGAGTCGGAAGCTTTTCTCTTCCTGTTTCTGGTGGCAAGTGTGGTAGTGCTATATAGATTTTCTGCAGCAGCTCAATGTCCAGTGACTAATATTTTGGTGTTAAGAAGGTAGACATTGGGTATTCATCCTGCTAGTGAGAACCATGGTATAGGCCAGCATTGATTGATCAAGGGGCTTGCTTCTCAGGGTGTAACCTTAATCCTGGGTGGCAGTAGGTTCAATAGCCACTGGTTTCCTCATCTAGAAAAGGCTGCAGTTCTCCACATCTAAAATTCATTTAACATACTGTAATAAAACCTTTTCCCTGAGTTTCACTTTATGACAGATTTGCTTCATCAAGTTTTTGAATTCATAAAAAAAATATGTTTGGGCAAAATTTTCACTGTTCTTATCCAACATTTTTTTCTAAGGGGTTTTCATCTTCAATTTGTTTTTCCTATTCCTCTTCTTGTTTCCTTTTAGAAAAATATCATTTGGCATATTCTATTCAGAGTAGAAGAGGAAAGTTCTCCTTGAACCCATATTAGAAAGTTTAGATGAAGAAGGAGCCAGTGTTGTGTTTAAGGATTTTTTTGGAATCTTTCTTGGCATGCAATGAAGTTCCTCATGACAGATTTATGTGAAAGTAGGTAACCAGCCCTTTGCTTCCTGCTGGGCCACAAAGGTCAAGTAGTATCCTTGCTTCTCTTCTCACAGAGCCTTTCTTCTCTCTCCTGCCTCAGCAATTGACTGCTTTCCACAAATATGGTTTGTCTACTCCATTTCTTCTTAGGTCCTCCCTGGAAAAAAAGAGGCAACAAAACCTAGATCAATTACAGGACCAATTTGTACAGCAAGTTCCCATTGCCTTGAAAAAGGAATATGTCTTCTATCTATCTATCTATCTATCTATCTATCTATCTATCTATCTATCTATCTATCTATCTAATTTTTTAAATGCATATTTAACTACATATTTAATTTTTCTTTTAAGAAATGACACCTGCTTTGGAAAATTTGGTGGAGAGCTGTGCTTGGGAATCTTATCCAAGATCTTCAGCCACAATCATCCTTTCTTCCTCTGCTGGTCCTCCTTTCTATTTCTGGGCATCCTTCCTCAATGATTGCAGTTTAAATATATAGATCTCTCTTGTGAAGAGGAGAGTGTTATTTCTGTTCTCGTTTTCTTTGTTATCGGTAACTCGTGAGGTTCAGAAGAGGCAGTGGCACCTGCATGTGCCCGTTTTGATATTGGGATGCTAACCTGGGCAATCTTGATTGTGCTGTGCCCAAGGAGAGGGTGTTAAGTGGACTCTGAAAATGCAAGATAAGGTGAGAACTGGAAGTGTCAAAGTCGAGAGGAGGAAGGGAAGAAAGGTGTCTAACCAGCCTAGACTTCTTCCTCACGTTTTCCTCACACTGAGCATGTAAGGATTTGTAGAGCATATTGGAAAAAAATATGCAATGCTGATCCTACTAAACAGCCCCAGCCTAAAGACTTGGCCCCATGCTTATAGTAAGCCAAGGGGATCCGTGTTTCACATTCTGGGACCATCTTCTTATACCAGGCTTGCCATCAGCGAGAGAGCATTTCAACAGGGCAGAAGGTTAGATTGGAAGACAAATGTCATGGAGAATGAAATGTCTCATGCCTCTTATTGGGGCATAAGAAGAATTCCAGAAGTAATCAAGCATGGATTTTAAGGAAGAGAAAGTAAGTAGGACATTTATGGACAACAACAAGATTAGTGGTATCTGATTCTTCAGACTCCTGAAATATTGCAAAAAAAAAAAAAACCTATGCATTTATTGCATGATGACATAGGGACTGAATGTCTTAATCTTGGGGTTATTCTAACAATGTCATATTGATATAAGCCAAAATTCTGAAAGAAAATTGAAGTAATTGATTACATTGACATTTTCCCAACTTTCCAACTAAAATTGGATATCTTAGTTGTAGTGTGCTAATGTGTTTATTCAGATAATCACCCTAACTGTCCACACCTCTTGCACATGTGTAGGTGGACATGTGGGTGAGTACATGGGTGGCATAAAAGAGACCAGGGGAAGGGATAAGCAGGAGAGTCAACACTTTCTTCTGGCTACTCAGTCATTCAGGGGGTGGAAAGACCAGAAGGACCATGACAGACTTGGTATCCAGTCCAGCTTCTCTTCACCCACCCCAATCTGCTGTGCAGCATGAAGTTTCCTATTCACAGAGACACAGAGGAGGACTGTGGAACGGTGAGAAGAAAATTTAACCACAGTTGATGACTTTCTTGCCTGACTTTAGCTTCTCCAAGTGAGTCCCCAAGAGACAGACAGTGGGTGGCAGAGTACAAATAACTCCCCTTTTGCTCCTAAAGCTATTTTTCTAGGTTTTTAAACCAATTTTTTAAAAATTCAGATTTTTTTTTCTGTCAGTCTAGATCACCCTTCACTTAGAAAAATCTAGCCTATGTGAATTCCATGCATGTTTTCCCCTACATCATCATTCAGATGGGAACCTCTCATTAGCCTCAGACTTTGGTAAAATAATTTCTAGTCATTAGACATCAGTGCACACAATCAATCATTGTTTTGAGTGAATTCTCATAATATTTTACATTATACCATTTTATTCAAAAGGCAGTATTTTATGCATCATGTTTATCTTCTTGGTTTAAATTTTTCAAAGTATGGAATGATTGATTTCTATAGTATAATTGTTTTTTTTTTTTAGAGAGAGAGGGAGAGAGAGTGAGAAAGAGAGAGAATTTTAATATTTATTTTTTAGTATTTAGCAGACACAACATCTTTGTTTGTATGTGGTGCTGAGGATCGAACCTGGCCGCACGCAAGCCAGGCGAGCGCACTACCGCTTGAGCCACATCCCCAGCCCTCTATAGTATAATTGTTGAGAACATAAGATTTTTCAAGATTGAATAGTTGTAAAATGGTCAACTTCATTTAAATGAAACATTTTCAAGTAAATGTTGGAATTCCCATCCATAGCAATACAAGCAACTAGGTGAATAATGAAAAAAAAGAATCTATAATCTTATATTAAATTCACAGTAAGAAGTATGCGACTCTGAAGTCTCTGAAATGAACCACTAAATAAAAATGGATTATTCATCTACAGTGAAGTCATTGCTTCCATTGGACATTATTTTGAGAGTTCTGAGAGATGGATTGTAATTTTCAAGAGATAGCTATTAAGAAGCTCCAAAATGTGCAGTGTACCCCATTTCTTAAAGGGCTTTCAAGTTCCTAGACTTAAAGGAACTAACATTTACATACAGAAACCTTACTAGGAACTTTACATACATCATTGCATTTTACACTTGATATTGAAATAGGTATTGATATTCTTAATTCTATAGATTAAAAAATTGAGACTCAATACTCAAAAAAAAAAAGAAGTTGCGCAAGGTTCAAGAGCAAGGTTTCAAATCTAGTTTTGTTCCACTACAAAATTATGTTTCTCATCCATCCTTATTTTAATAATTGATGTGGCACCATGAAAATGTCCTGCTCACTCTGCAAGATTTAGCATATTTACCTGCTGGCCTCATTACTGGACTTTTTGGAATCCATCCCCATATTTACTAAGGTCACAACCAAGGAGCAACAGTGGAGCTCATGAACTGTCTCTGAGCTTGGCAAAATGTTCTTGACACTGCACTGCAACTTTAACTCCCTCCTTCCATAGATGTCAGACCTACAGCATGGTCTGAAAACAAACCCACCTTTTCCCATCCCTTCTTTCACTAAATCCTTGTATGAATAATCCTGTCTTGGTGGATACTTTCTGGAAGACATATATCTCACCAGAAGATGTACTTGGAGTTGTACAGCAAAACAGTATGCAAAATGAGGAATGGGATAAATCAGAAGATCATTGGGTGGAGAAATTGACTTCCTGATGGGCAGCTGGGATGCAGCTACATTACAAATGTCACTGATTGACATGAGGGGAAAATATCCCGGTGCAGGAAAATCACCTGTCAGTAAAATGATTCAAATATTTGAATAAAAATGCCACAAAGCCACCTTAGCTTGATAATTACTGGGAAAATTCTTGGTAAAAAAGGCTGAAATTGAATAAGCAAGAATTTATAAATACAGAGATACTTTTGTGGGGGATGAAATATAATACCCAAGGCCAGAATCAAGGGAATAGGCAAATTCACTGTTACGGTGACTCTTAGAAGCCCAGTAAAGGAGATGACCGGTGCCAAGCCAGGCAGAAATTACTGAGGCAGAAGACCTATCAGAGGATGATAGCCCAGAAGAGGACCCAGAGGACACTTCATTCATCATGGCTACCAGGAATTTACTTGTAAGAGAGATATCAATATCACTAAGAAATTCAGTGGTGGCTCCTCTGTACCAGGACTAATGGTAAAAGAGGCAGTTCCAGACCTGGCTCACTATATGCATAGGAATGATGGCATCTCCCAAGTCATAAAGGTTTGGTGCTGACATATAACTACCAGGAGCCAAGAGTCCTCAATTTCATGACTAACAAGAACAGAGAACAGAGGGGGCCTCCCCATGGAGCGTGGCCCATAGAGGTTTACAGATGTGGTTCAAAAAGGAAATAAAGGGTGATATCTCCAGAGGTAAAATGGAAGAACCACCAACAAGGATGTGATTTGATAAGTATAACCAAAACAGACAAAAAAAATTTGAAGAATTTTCTGAGGGCAGTTGTTCCAATAAAAAGTTCCGATCCCTTGTTCAGTTCTCAGAACTGAGTGGATTTTCAGATTTTAAAATCTGTTAAATGAAGAAGTGGTCAGATTCCAGCCTAGCTGTCCATCAACAGATGAATGAGTAAAGAAAATGTGCTATATATATACAATAAAGTTTTACACCATCATAAAGAATGAAATTATGTCTTTTGCTAGTCAATGTGCAGAACTAAAGAACATTATGCTGAAGTAAATAAGCCATACTCAGAAAGTTAAGAGTCGAGTATTTTTTCTCATCTGTAGAAACTAGAGAAAATTAAAAAGGGAATCTCATGAAAATAGAAGAGAGACCAATAGAGTAGAGGAAAGAGACTGAGAGAAAGGAAAAGAGAGAGAACATGGGAAGTACTGGTGAATGAAATTTACTAAGTACAAGTATACCACAATGGATCCCACTAATACATAATTATAATGCACTGATAATAGTAATAATGATAATAGATGGAAGATCAATAGAGTAGAGCAATTATATTGAGGCGGGAGAGGAGAAAAAATGAAGAAACTAGGGAAGGAGGTTAATTAAATTATGCCATGTGCATATATGAATATGTCATAATGCATTGCACTGTTTTGTATAATTACAATGCACCAATAAAAATAATAATAATTTACAGAAATGATCAAGTTACCAGGAGGAAGGACATTGAGACACCAAAAAATATATATGTATATACTGAAATGGTTTTCTCAATCCATCCCAAAGACACTAATGGTCATTTACATGAGTGATGTGTACTAAGAAAAGGTAAATTTCTAACATTTGGAGTACTACCTAACAAAGGATTCTAACTGATTTCATTACTGGAAACTCCACGTGTCCTCATGGTTCTCTTTAAAGTAAAGATTTTGTTGAGTGAGAAATTTTCCAGTGAAGTCCCAACTAAAATCCTCAGTAAAGTCTAAGCCACATATGCCCAATGGTCATTTCCCAAGTTCCCAAATGTGCAACTAGAATTGATGTAATTTACAGTTGTAGCAATCCTTACTGTGGGTCTTTGGCAGGTGAAGTAAGAGCTCCTATAGAGGGAAAAGCCAAGTGAAATACTCTGAAATTGCCACTATTGTGCTCTGGAGGGAGTGACAGAAATTGATGCATTTCTTCAGTATCTCAAGGAATCCGGAGGGATGGTAAAATGGGTTATATGCTGGTTTCTGAAAAGTATATCAGCTTCAAAAATCCCTGGCCTCTGTAAATGTGATCTTATTTGGAAAGGGGGTCCTTGAGATGAGATTCATCTGAGTTATCTATATGGATCCTAATTTAATGATAAATGTCTTTATTGCAGACACAAGGAGAGAAAACTAAGAGTAAAGGAGGTGATATGAAGATGAAGAGGTGATATGAAGGCATCCACATACCTTGAAGGAGGCCAACGGCCAATAATTCTCCAATACAGCCTCCAGATGCAATGTAGTCTCAAGGACACATTGATTTTGAACTTCCAGAATTCATATATGTGAATAATAAATTTGTATTGTTTTAATCTGCAAGTTTATGGTCAACTGTTATGGTAGTTTATTGTAGGCTGTCTCTATTATATCTTTGTTTAATTTGCCAGTCTGGCTCTTTCAGAATTCTGATGGCTCTCAGAGAATGAATTCTGACTATCAGAAGCTCAACAAAGTAGCATCCCTTATTACAGTTGCTGGAGTAGACTTGATGTCGTTGCCAGATCAAGTTAACAAGGCCTTAGGTAAATGGCATGCTGCCATTGGTTTGGTGGATGCAGTCTTTTGCATTCTGATTAGTAAGTAAGGTCAGAAATTGTTCAAGAAATTGTTCAGATTCACATGGATTGAACAGAAAATGTCATTGACAATTTGCTTCTGAATTTTATTAACTCTTCTTTTTCTCTGTTACAATGTACTCTAGATTGCTAGAGGCCTTGGTAATACATACATTCTCCAGATGGTAGAAAACAAACCCTATAAAGATTCAGGGACCTATGAACTTAGTAAAGCTCTCAGCATTCAAGGGTTGGAACAGGGAGTAATATCCTGTGCAAAGCAAAAGATACACTTCTGCATCCTGCATCTCCTACCACAAAGGAGGAAACCCAGTACCTCATTGGCCTCAGAATTCTGAACACAACAATATTCTACACTTACAAATACTTCTCCAGCCCTTATGTAGGTGACATATTATGCTGCCAGATTTGAGTGAAGTGCAGAGTAGGAAAGGGCTGTAAGTGAGTCCAGGGTGTGGTGAAAGCAGTGTTATGACTTGGTCCATTTCATGTGGGAAAAGATGCAGTACAGAGCTAACAGGAAACCTCAGTGCAAGAATCCTAGTGCAGGCCCCTGAGATCTTGGAGCAAGGCCATGTCATTTGCAGCAGAGTACCATATTGTTTTTGAGAAACTGAAGTGTTATTGGTTTCTGCTAGAGGTAGAGTGTTTGACCATGAGGGTCAAATAACTATCATATAAACAGGCCCAAGATGAACAGGGTTCTTTGAGACTCAACACGTCATGAAGCCGTAGATGCCCAGCAGCACTGGATTGTTAGATAGAAGTGGTACCTCTATAGTTGGTCCCAAGCAGGAGAACGGTATGAGTACATTTTCTGAGCAGGTAGCCTGAACACCCATGTTACCCATTATGATTTTATCAGTGCCTGTTCCCCAACTCCCACATGTGGTTATAGGGGATGTGGCAATTCCCAAATAACCAAATGCAGAAGAGAAAAAGGATGCCAACTTTTGCTTATGAATTGGGCACAAACTTAAAAGGAGGGAAACTTCATTGTTACCATATAGAAAAGTAGTTTTAAAGACAGTGGAGAGGAAAAATTCTTCTGAACTGATAGGCTTTGAGGAGAACTCCTTGCCATCTACTTGAGTTGAAGGACAAATGATCCAAGGGAAACACATATCCAAATGACTGAGTAGTAACCAATGACCTGGCCTGGAGGTAAAGGAAAGAGATTGGTGATAAGTAAATGTAGATGGAAGCAAACAAACAGACATAGGAGAGTGGACACTATGAGTAAAGATGTTCATAATCTCTGATCCTCTAGAGGAGTCACTGAACAACCAAGTGACAAAATGATACAGCCATTTGGATGAAGTTAGCCTTCATCCTGGGCACTCTGGAACTAGCAGAAATAACACAATGGTCATATAAACAAGATAGCTATAGAGCCAAATATGGAGGCTATATATGGGCTCAACCACATCCTTACCAAGGATGATATAGCTACCGCTGCTTCTGAATGATTGATTGTTAGCAATGGAGACCAAGGCTGTGTCCCTGATACCAAATAGTTACCCCAGGAGAACAGACTAAACATCTCCAGGCAAAAAGCCAAATGCATATCCTGAATAGGTCTCTATCTGTGAGGATGAATAGCTCCTCTTCCAGGACAGAAAGGGCCCAAAACAGGTGATTTGCTCAAGTGGCTCAATGTTCTCCTTTCTAAAGGATTCGGTAGACTAGAAAGAAGTCATTGTGTCAGGAGTTCCCAATCCTTTTCTGCAGAGGTAGTGATGATCTTACCCATGGTGGAAGGGGAGAATGCATATGGATCCTGGATGATCTACTTGGGTACTTCTGAACTCCTTTGCTCCTCAATAACTGTGAATGAACATGGATATTAACTACAACCTTAGAAAGGCATGATGGCCAAGGGCTCAGATGCTCAAGGAAAGGAGATTAAGGTTACATCATGAGATAAGTCACCAAGACTTGCCAAGGTGATAACTGAGAGTGAGGAAAATTTAGAATGATTAGATGAAGAAGGATGGTTTTGCCACCAGACCAACTTTAATGGCAAAGGCTGTGCCTCCTGCCAGTAAGTTTTCTCTTCTAAGTTTTCCCTCAGGAGAAAACCTGTCAGGACCATTGAAAAACTACTTCCAAACCTTCATGGAGAAGCTGATTATGGAGTTCAAGGGGTGTCTGGTAGTGAGCACGATAATGCAGCACAGGTTTTCCTGCTGGGGGTGGGGCAGTTTCCTGATGGCCCCAGATGCTGCCCTGTGGATGTCTGCTGGCCACTTCTGGTCATGGTGGGGCAGTAAGGCCATACCATGCTGCTATATTGTGGGACTATCTGAAACGGTAACTTTTTTATATTTGCATATCTTATAATTTTTTTATTATCTGTATTATTATTTTTTAAATTTTTATTGTTGGTTGTTCAAAACATTACATAGTTCTTGATGTATCATATTTCACACTTTGATTCAAGTGGGTTATGAACTCCCGTTCCCCCACCCCCCCGTGCACAGATTGCAGAATCACATTGGTTACACATCCACTGATTTACATATTGACATACTAGTGTCTGTTGTATTCTGCTGCCTTTCCTATCCTCTACTATCCCCCCTCTCCTCCCCTCCCATCTTCTCTCTCTACCTCCATCTACTGTAATTCATTTCTCCCCCTTGTCTTTTTTCCCTTTCCCCTCACTTCCTCTTGTATGTCATTTTGTATAACCATGAGGGTCTCCTTCCATTTCCATACAATTTCCCTTCTCTCTCCCTTTCCCTCCCACCTCTCTTCCCTGTTTAATGTGAAAAGGTGATTTTTGATTGAGGATTATCTATTGGCTTGGTGGGACCTTCTCCACAACTCTAATGAAGTTCAATTCTCTATTTAATCCATTCTTCCTCCTCTCCTTCCTACATTAGAGTATAAAAGCCTTCCTTACCTTCTTCTCCCTTCCTTAAAAATTCTCCAGCCCTTATGATTCCATCTTAGAATCTACCTCCCAGGGGACCTGAATTCAAGCAGTAGAAATGAAAGTTTATGTATCTTAAATTTTTCTTTTCCAGTTGGCTTCTTCTATATGCTGATATTACACTGTAAAATATTTTTTAAAAAGTACATTCCAAATGTAATTATTCATAAACAAAAGTGATAGCTTGGGTGGGAAAAGATAGATACATTCAATGGCCTGTCGAAGTTCATTAAGTTGATCACAGCATATAAATGAAGTAGATTATCAATATATTTGGGGGAAGAATAGTCAGGGGATTGTCGATATAGTATTTCATTAATTAGGATCTGCTATAGTTTTCATTTTAATTATAGGTTTCAGTTGTCTTAGTTTATTCGATCTGAATTATTGAATTGTTCGTTGAAAATGCACCTGTGGAGACAATGTCCACTTTGCTTAAAAATTGTTTTTGAGAATTGAGACTTTTTACACACTTTCTTCTTTTCCTTTGAGGTTTGATTAATACATAATATTTATACATATTTATTGGGCACAATGTGATTACTTGATTCGTATATCTATTAGGTAATCTATGAATTTTCAATAATTAGTCTGAAGATAAGTTTGGTCTACAGTTAAAACCTTATTCCTACTGCTAAAAGCTTAACTATAAATAATTCCTGAATATATTGTTGTACTTTGAAACTGATGGTTATCTCTAACTTCTTTTCTCTTGAAAAGCAGGAACTGAGATAGATGTTTCTAATTAAATAGGACACATTCTAAAAGAAAAGACAAGTTGACAGCTATTCTATTAGAATGGGAGCAAATTAATCCAAGAATTTTAGAGGATAAATGTGATAGTATTATTTTAGTGTTAGCAGTAAAGTATTTTTTAGATTTTTTTTAAGAGAGAGAGAGAGAAATTTCAATATTTATTTTTTAGTTTTCGGCGGACACAACATCTTTGTTTGTATGTGGTGTTAAGGAACCCAGGCCGCATGCATGCCAGGTGAGCGTGCTACCGCTTGAGCCACATCCCTAGCCCATTTTTTAGATTTTTTAAAACATTTTTAGTTATCTCCATATGAGATTTTATTGCGCTTTCAATTTTTCTTACTTATGCTTTTCAAGGAAATTTTGCTTTTATTTTGATAACAGTAGAATTTGTTTTCTCTCTCTTTTTCCTTTGGATTGTGTATTGCCTTGCAAATTCAGCATCAATGCTATTTTAGGCTCTTTAAATTTTTCAAAGAAAAATTATTGCATCTTCACAGGGACTGTATGAAATTTGTAATTTTTCAAGATCTCACATTTCACGGGAGCAACTTATACTGTGTTGGTTTACTACAAATACTAACATTTAGGAACTATCAGCAAAGAAGTGATAAAAAGAACACCAATTTCTAAAATCTTCATTTAAAATATTATTAGTAAAGGTTGGAGATGTATGTAACTTAGTGATAGAGTACTTACCTAGCTTGTGTGAAACCCTGGGCTCATTCCCCAGCACAGGAAAAAAAAAGTATATAAATCACATACATATATATACACACACACCTGTATATGTAATTTAGCAAAGATATTTAAAGTAGATTCATTTTAAGTTAACTCTTCTGTATATATTATAATATAATTCCAATAAAATTATTTAAACTTTTTAAAATAGGAAACAAAGGCTAACTAGGCTAGAATATAATTTACATTCACAGCAATTATCTCCTTAAGTTTCTAATAAATTTTACTTTTCTAAACTGTGCCTTTTGGCTGAAAAGTTGAGTTTTATTTTGCAGGAATGATTGTGTTCCTCAAATAGATGATGAAGATTTCTTTATCTGTTCCAGAAACAGATTGTACCCCTGTGTGGACACTGGCCAAGTTAAGCACATCTGTTAAAAAAGAACTTAGTGACATAAAAAAAAAAAAAAACTTCAAGAGAGACAAACTTAAGAGCATTTCTAATGCAAATGCTAAGAAAGAAGCCTCATTAGGAAATATTTATTATTCCCTGAATCCAGAAATAATATTGGGAAATAGTTGTAAATGCTATTTTCCCTTGAAATATGGTAATGAGTGCAATCATGGTCAATTCCCTCTAAAGCTTCCACACAGATGTTAGAACATTTATTGAAAGAACTTCTGCAGTGAGTTTCCCTATCAAGTGTTCTCTTATGATTTTATACACTGTCATTTTATTTACCAAGACCCAAGATCCATATTAATAGTTTTATTAAGGTTTCTGTATAGAGTATAAAGCACACTACTTTGGTTTCTCAAATTATGGTTTATGTACTCACTTAAAAGTTTATGAATTAAAAGAGAAAAACTCACCATGAAGACTTTCTATTCTTTCAAATTAGATGCATTTAGTATAGATGGTGATGGAGGTATCTTTGTCACCTCTAATCTATGTGGTTGTTTTGGAACTCCTCCCTTCCAATCATGACCTATTAATATTTTTCATGCAGAGAAATAATAATCATTTAGCATGTTTTCTAGTTGACAACTAGATAGTTAAATAGTACTTGCTACTTAAGCCGCATGTCAGAAATATTTTATCAAGGGTTGCATAAACTCTAAGGAATTAAATGCCATAAAGCCCTGTGTATGCTATGTCACCAATGTCACAACTGTGAAGTACATTGGCCAGCCTATGTGTGGCATTATTGATCAACATTCTCCCATGGAGACATACGAAAGCCTACATCCTCTGCAGACTTCAAAGACCCTTCTTTGTGACTACACTGCTCAAACTGGTATATGCACACAAGAATCTCATCTGAAGTCCAGCAAATTATGTTGTCAAAATTCTCTCCATTTCTTTCAGACACCTCTTCAGCCTTGACTATGGAACTGAAGCTCAAAAACAAAAATAATCATTAGATAGTAGACACCAGTGTTAAAAAGAATTATGGATCTTACAGTGTGTTTAATGCAAAATGCTATTCCTCCAAAATAGTGAACAGAGAAGTAAAATTGAAACCTCCAGCCTCTGAAATCAGGACATGACAAAGGGTGTCTGAATTCAAAGTGTCCTGTTGAGAACCTTTTGCAAATGGTTCTCTTTAGCTAACATGAGTCCTGTGACATGAGAAGGAATTGGAAGATCACTAGTGAAATAAGACTTATACCACTCACTTATCACATGTTTGCGCTCATACATGGAAACAAAAAAAGTTGATTTCATGGACATAGAGAGTAGAATAGCTGTCACTAGAGGTGGGAAGGGTTGGGGAGAAGAGGATAGAGGGAGGTCAGATAACTGTTACCAAAGTATAGTTACATAGGAGGAGTAAGTTCTGGTATTCTATAGCACAGTAGGGTAATCAGAGTTCACATTAATTTTTTAAATATATTTTGAAAATGTAGAAGAGAGGAGTTTAAGTTTCCCAGCACAAAGAAAGGAAAACGGCTAATTGTCTTGATTTGATCATTATATATTGTCTTCCTGTATCAAATTATCCCACCATACCCCATAAAATATATACTTTAAATAAATAGCACACTGCATCCCATAATATGTACAAGTTAAATAAATAAATAAATAATTTTGAATGAAAAAAAGAAAGGATGGTGGGCGGTGGGGGGAGAGTCTTGGGGATTTATTGCACTATTGGGGGCATATCCCTGGTAGGATGTTCCTCTGGCCACACTCTCATACACTGTCTAGAGCTGAAGAGACACGTTCTCTCTCCATGTCTGTGGCTGTGAGTTAAAATGGCAAGAAAAAGGAAAATCATGCCTGGACTACACACACATTCATTTTAATGCAATAGAATTAATCTTGGGAAACTCAATTACTATTATTTTTTTATGATTATTAAGGTTTTCCCCCCTATCGACTCTAGATTATCTGTGCCTAAATCTTATGAGGGCGTCTGGCTTCTTGTAGCAGACGCTGCTTGCTCTTGGGCTGCTTCCCATAGTCATCAGTCAAAAAATGCAAAGTCATTTTGAAATTACAGCCAATCTGTTGCATGTCAAGATTTAAAACACCATAGAAATGTTATTTTGCACTAGTTATATTTTGTTTTCTCTCAAAGATTTTTTATATCTATCTGGAAGATGCTAGTTTATCTAGGACTTCTCACTCTCTAATCTGACAGCTTCCTGGCCTATGACCTTTTAAATTAATTTATATATGTAAACAAAAACAATTAACTGAAGTGCCAGTGTGACTTTGAGAAGGCCAAGGGTAAAATGAAATTAACCACTATGTAAATGCATCAGTCAAGTGAGAAGTTATGATAGCAAAAATATTCTAATATACTTTCTGTTTTGATATTTTATTTTAGAAAATCTCAAATCTACATAAAACTCAAAATGCTATAGTGCAACATCAGTTCACATCTTTTATGTAGTTTAACAATTGTACATTTTGCATTTTCTCTTTCTGTTCTTGTAGCTAGATATATATTTCGAAACCCAGACATTTAACATTGTTACAATATTGTCTAATACATAATGAATATTTAAATATTTTAGTTATCCCGAAATATTCTTTATAGCTCTTTGTAAAAATCCAGAGTTCAGTCACAGGCCATGTGCCACATTTAGTTGTCATATTTGTTCTTCCCTTTTAATCCGAAATGATCTCTTCCACCATTTTCTCTCTTTTATGATGTTATTTATATTTTGGAATTCAGTCTATTTGTTTTGTAGAAGGTCCAACAATCTGGATTTGTCTGATTGATTTCTCCCCTCATTCAGCTTAGAATTCAGGTTAGAGTTTTAGAATTTTTGTCAAGAGTACCACAAAGGTGACCTGTGCTTCTCACTGTCACTCATCCGAAGACACACATGTCATTTGTCCAGTGATTAGTAATATCAAGTTTAGTCCCTCGGTTGAGGTAAAGTCCACAAGATCTCTCCATAGTCAAGCACTGCAACTAACAAATCAATTGTGGAGTGATGCTTTTAACAACCAGAAGAGTCCTGCCCTATAGTAACTCTTCCTCCAATGGATGTGCTACTACCAGGGCAAAGATTTTAAGAAGCCAGTATGTTTCCCTATTGGCTTTCAGTTTCCACTGGCTAGATACAAATGATAGCGGATTTTGTAACATGAGCCTAAAGAAGGGTAGTGTTATGGGTTTGGATGTGGCATGGCCCCCAAAGATTTATGTGGTGGAAAATTGATCCGCAGTTGTAGTAATGTAAGAAGTTGTGAAATCCTGAAGAGCTAGGGATTAATGTCATGTGACTAAGGGGCCTTGTCCTCTGAAAGCAGTAATATTGGTCTAGGGGAGTGAACTCTCACCACAGTGAGTTGTTACAGAAAGACCAAGACCAACCCTCCCAATCTCTGGCTTCTAGCCTCACCACATGACCTCTCCCACGTACACTCCGCCATTGCAATGCCACCTATCATGAAGCTCTCACCAGAAACAATCAGAAGTCCAAGCCATGCTCAGAAACTTTCAGAATATGAGCTAAATAAACCTCTTTTTAAATATATTACTCAGACTCAGGTGTTGTGATGGAGCAACAGAAAATGGGCTAATACATTGAGCCTCCGTAAATCTCAGTATGGAGGAAGGTCAACCACTCACCCAGAACACCTGCTAGGACAATGAAGAGGACATAAACCTCTCCATTGGCAAGACTCTAATGTTTTGGATATATTTGAAAGTGAAACTCACATTATTCCAAGTAATAGTACAACACCTTCTAACACTTTTTTTTGCTGTATCAGTTTCAGGTATTGGTTTTAATTTCTGCTTGTTTTATACTTGTGTTTAATGACAATCCTAACTATGGAAGATACTTCATCAACTATATTTAAATTGAAAGGGAATAAGTTCACTAGTTTTACTACCATGGATTTTCACATTGATTTTTTTTTTAGTGCCATTCATCTACTGAAAAGTTGTTTTCATTGAAATTCAGCTAATAATTAGGCCACTCAATTATTCTTGAAGACTAACACAGAAGGGGTTCAATTTTATAATTTTAACAAATAGAATAAATATCCATAGAAACTCTTCATTTTAAAATTTTTATAGCAGTCACAAAACTCTTTCCAAATTTTCAAAGTCTATGATCATACATAATTTTATAGGCAGTACATATATTGCTTTCAGCAGGTACTATTATAAAAGAGGAAATGTTTTCAAATAATCATTTGAAAAAAACGCTCTTTCTGTGGTACGAATTTCTTTGGAAAAATAGTAAATTTTTCTACCTTTAAAAACTATCTCAATTTTAAGAAAGTGATTAAGTATATTTAATTTTTCAAAAATGTGTGCTTAGAAGCACAATAGATGTGGATGTCCTACAGAACTTTGCATATTCTTGGTTTCAGCTTCTTTGCTGCAATAAACTGCTTATGAATAATTCAGTGAATAAATATTATGAGAGGTTCTGGCTCTATAACCTTACTCTGTTATACTTTTTTTTTATTCAGGTCAAACCAACTGCTACATTAGTGATTGCACATATATATCTTTCCCAGAAAACATTCTTATCTTTCTTGTTACCTCTTTTCTTTAGTGAACCATGCACACAAAAGTCTTTTTTGTTTTGTATTGTTTTATACTTCATAATTTTTTCATTGGCTGTTGAATACTACAACTATAACATGTTAGAAACATTTATTTGCCTCTATATAGTTAACTCTAAAGTTGTATTATTTATTCAAATAGATGATATTATGTTTTAAGCTATATTTTCTATGTGTATTTGTTCACAAAAGAATACATGTCAGTTTGTCCTCATTTTGTTATCTGTTTGTTACTTTAGCCACATTTATTTTGCTACACAAGGAAGAACAAATGTTCCCCCCCCCAACAATATTGGCTTCATGTCTTCTGCAATTAGTAAAAAAAAAAAAAGAAGAAGAAGAAAAAGGAGGAAGGAAAAGAAAGGAGGGAAGAGAAGAAATAAATCTAAAAATAAATCTTTGTCATAAGGTTTGCTGAAGTTTTATGAATTATGGAATGTGTATTTTATCTTTAAAACTTGGTAAAAATCTGTAGGTCTGTTTTCATATTCTATGTTTGCATCATCACATGCATTGCACATTTTGATGGCATGGCTTCATAATACCTTTAACTAATATCAGAAGTTATCATATAAACTTTAAAATATATTGTTTAGGATAGGAGGTATAGATTTGCTTTTTGAAAAGCCTTCATCATAATTTAGGATTTGGGTTTTTTGACTTTGTGTCATATTTCCAGTAGTTTCACATAGTAGTGTGGCCCAAAAACACTAGGCAGAAGAGTGTCCACATTGTTATTTATTACTGCCTATTAGGTGCTTTGCAGAATTCCTTTTTAGCTATCTGTCCACTTTGTGTTAATTCAATTAATTGACAGTAGATAATAAAATACCAAATTACTCTTAGCCTTGCCTATTTTATAAAACATGGGTCAAAACACAAATAGTTCAGACTCACAGCGTGCCCATCTTTGCATATTTATCAAACTTAATTTATTATTTGTTA